AAGTTCTCTTTGGGTCATGGCTACCTGGGGTTTGGTATGCTTCATTTATATGTAGGCTTATTTCTTTTCCTATATTTGGGAAGTTTTCTGCCATATTTATGTGAACAGATTTTTAATGCCAGTTGTGTTGTTTTCTGATTTTCCACTTATTCCACTTATTCTTAATTTTCTTTACATCATCTACCAGTTGTTGGATATATTTTTCATATTCTGTTATTTTTAATTTATTTCTGAGTATAACCATCCTTTAATGACTAAGTTCTGTTCTTGTGACCATGCTGTTAAGTTGGCCATTAAATGAGGATTTGTATATAGTATATGCATTACAGTATTCAGAACAAAGAAATGGCCAAAGGAAATTCCAACTTGATGACTTTGCTTTTATTTGTATGGCTCTTACATGCAGTAGTCTAATGTGTAACAGAATATAAAACTACAGTATTATACAATTGAGATGTACTGTACAGAAAAGGCTCTATAAACAAGATATAGAGAATTGTTACAAAAAAAAAAGACAAGTGTTAAGTCCAAGCATCTGGTCCTGTGTTCAAACAGTGCATCTTGGGCATAAGTCTGAACAGTCATTAAACAGGTAGATCATGAAAGAAGGGGCATCTCTAGTCGGCCTTTGAAAGGATCATTGTTTCTTCTTCTGAAATTCTGGTGTCACACTGGTTGGAGAAAAAAAATATATATATGGTAAAAAAGAAAAAAATAGAGAAGAAAGAGAGGAAGCAAGGCAGAAAGATAAAGCTGTCTTAAGCTCCAGGAAACTGAAGGGAAGGAAAGAAAAAAACAAACCAAAAGCACTAAAATCACAACTCACAAAACAAAGTAACTGACCAAACAACAAAGCCACAAAATGAAAAAGACTTACACTTTTCTGTGACTTCAGTTTCAACATGTGTGGTTTTCTTCTGGAGTTTGTAGGGTCCAATTCAAGACGTGGCCCTGTTTTCACCAGTAAATATGGCAGTCAGCGCCCATATCCATGTTGGAGGTAGTCATCAGTGGGCAGGCAGGATTAGGTTGGAAATTCTGTGACTTTCAGATCCACTGAGATACAGGCTGAGCTTAAAACTCCTTGGAAGCCTTGGTGGCCTGACCACAGTTGTCTCCTGTGGATGTCTCTTGTCCAGTGTTGTAGTTTGTGTCTAATTCTCCCCTCAAAGTTTCATGCAGTCATGGGGTGAACTAGAGTTTGTTAATTCATGATCTGATGCTGGGATGATGGGTGTAAGGGCTACACCCGTCCTCAGGCAGACAGCCTGAATGCAATGTAAGGAAAGGAGGGTTGCTCTCTGCTTCTGCTGCCACTGCTGCTGCTGCTGCTCCTCCCTTTTGCTCATTTTGCTGTCTTCTGCCCTCATGAGCTGCTGACCTCTTGTGCTACTCTAGCCTCTAGCCTTGTGCTACTCTGTCTTGTAGTCAGGTGAGTATGGACTGAAACCTCCATAAACTGTGAGCTAAAGTGAAAAAAAGTAACTGAGACGCTCAGTCACTGTGGGAGCGTAACACTAGGAGTCCTGAAGTGAAGCCAGACTGAGGCTGCTCTGAATCCTGCACCACTGGTCTGTTCTGCTGCTGTGTTTCTCCCTGAAGGCCTTTGGAGTGTCTTGATATCACCATCTCTGTAGATTGGGGATTTCTTGTGAGACAGGAGCCAGGAGCTGGGGAGAAAGTGCACGTTTTCCCTTCCTTTTTCTGGGTTGTTGTTTCTTCAGTTTCTCCATAGGCTCTAATTTTTCTGTCAGCTCTTTCCTGGGTTCCAGGAGATCAGCCTGCATTCTTCTTTCTTTCCAAGTTGTTATAATCCCAGGTCTGCATCCTGAATGTTGGAGAGGCTGATTTATTGTTGCTTACCACTCCCGTTTTTTTCTTCTCTTCCTTTCCTTTCCTGTCTTTTTCTTTTCTTTTCTTTTCTTTTCTTTCTTTCTTTCTTTTTTTTTTTTTTTTTGTTTTCTTTTCTTTCTAGATGGGCTGGCCTCAACCTCAAGATCCTCTTCCTGCAGCCCTAGAGCAGCTAGGATTACAAGAACTGGTCATGGGGTCACCAGGCCCTACAATTTTAATGAGCCTGCTGAGCCTGAGCTCTCACCTTCTCCAGGCTTTTGAACTTCCTTTCACCTCTAGGTTACAGGGCATTGGGTTGGGTATTTCTGCTCTCCCTCTCAAGATGCCCTCTGTCCCCAGAAGAATGATGGTTTTTCCCTGAGCTCTTCCTAGTGAGGGTGTGGTAAGCTTCTGAAGGTGAAACATAGCTGTTGGAGCATCCAAGGCAGCAATCATGCATGTTCACCTCCAGCTAGTCAGTCACTCTGTAAGGCTTTCTACTGGATCTGGGCTCTAGCAGGCCTGTCTGTTCTGATACACTGACTCTGCATCTGCCTGTGTATCCTGCTTTTGGGGTGGTGGTTTACTCCATGACCCCAATTCTTCACTGGGCTTGTTATGAGACTAGAAGTGATAACTTCTAAGCTCTTCACATGTCAAATGGTAG